ACGTGTGTGTTGCAGTGGTATAATTAAAAAAATTGGGGTCTGTAATTCTCACTTCATTACTCTTCCAGGGGAGGATCCGGGAGGGGTAGAGCAGCAGTATCATCTTGAATTAATGGATTAAGACATGTCTTACGCCATTAGGGAGCTACCATTTGATTTTTATGTGGGGGGGGGGGGGCTAGGATGAAAAATTGTGTCCTGCATTTTTTTTTAAGTTGTAATCTCGGTCCTGCCTTTTTTTATTAGTTTATCCTGACTTTTTATACATAATTTGTCATCCTGCCTTTTTTTTTTGCCGAGTTGCTCATCCTGCCTTTTTTTATTTTTTTACTCAAAACTTCTGTACTGCCTTTTTTTCGTATTTCATCCCCCCCCCCTCATAAAAATTAAATGGTAGCTCCCTTAGAATAATCACACGAGTGTTTGTGAAAGTCCAAGCTGAGAGAAGCTACAACATGATATCATCAATTGAAAGGGTTATCAGTTCCTGGGACCATACTGGGACATAACAAATGTACCAAAAGACCATGTATTGGTATCAGCCTGTTATTATGTTCAATTTGATTCAGTCATGTTATCAGCTAATACAAATTTGCCACAGTCGTTCGGGTGAAAATCAATACGGAAATGCCCTGCAAAGATACACGTGTACACAAAGCATATGAAAATGTATGCTATTTGATAATCTCAAATTAAAATTAATCAATATATTACGATAAATAACAAGACTCTTGTCAGAAGAATAATCAGATTCACTTCAGTTTAGGTGCCAATTATTTATGACAATGAATTCAAAATTCCACAATTGCTTGCTTGGACTTATAAACTAAGGTCTGTAGAGCGCAATATGATGTCATAGCCGTTTAGTATACATCTGGCCCCAGTAACATATTTGATTGAAAGCAGAAAATAGAAAACTGAAAACAAGTCGCTGAGACTAGGGATGAAGTACACAACCAGTCCACTTACTAGACCTTTATATTTTAGAGCTTAACTTTGTCATTTTTCTGTCATGTGCAACTAAACTTGTAACTTGATATCCCGTAGGGGTGACAAAATTGATTACACAGCTATGTAAGCTGTTTAGTATCTTGGTGTACGTTTATGGTGCCTATGCCAGGTTTGTTGTGTGACAAATAATTCAGTCGTATGTCACTTCTGGTGTTACATTTTCTTTGTTTTAGCAACTGTTTTTTAATGCAGATATCTTATAATCGGTATCTTTTTTATTATAGTAATTAGTTAATTTTGTTCAATTTGTGTTTATCATATAACAATTGTCATAAAATAGAACTGCATGTGTCTATAAATACAACATTTGATGTATGAGAATACAAGGGAGGTAATAATAAATACAATTACCTTTCATTGATCAAAATCACAAGGCTCAATTACACTGATTGATTGATTGTTGATTGCTTGGTAACGTCCAGTGGCAAATATTTCATGCATGTTCAGGACGAGAATAACCGGGCTCAACTACATGATTCACATATCATTACGATGATTTATACAACAACACGTCCTCTCCCCTTTTTCCTTTTTTCAAATTCCTGGATCTGCATCTGCTGAGCGAACCATGAAATGGGATCAAAACATTAATTGGCATCCAATTTTAAAATCTGACATCATAATAAACATGTCTTATAAGTATCAAGTTTATGTGACCACAACTTCATGGCTAACTACCTTAAGCCTTATAAAAGAACAGAGTTCCAATGTCCCACCCATGTTGCACATATTTTATCTGTCCAAGTTCAATAACTAAAAAAAAACATTTGTTTTTAAAAACTTTTTAAAATTATCTTAGAGAGTAGAAGACTTGAGAGCAGTTTCTGATATATTAAATATTTCCAAGCGGCATAACTCATTACAAATATTTGATCAGCAATTATTTTCGAAATTATCCGTGACATTGCTGATATTAACCTTACCTTTGATATGAATTTGATAAAAATCTGGCAAAAATTGTACATGTGAGAGCGCTTACAATGCAAATTCCCATAAAATGAATATTTCTAAGGGACAGAACAGTTTTAAAAATAATTGATCAGCAATGATTTTCGAACTCGTCCGAGACATAGCTGATATAAACCTCCCATATAAGTTTCATAAAAATCTGGCAAGAATTGTACACAGGAAAGCACTAACATTGCAAATTTCCATATAATTAAAATTTCTGAGGGGTAGAACTCTTTTAAAAATAATTGATCCGCAATCATTTTCGAACTCGTCCGACACATAGCTGATATACACCTACAATATAAGTTTCATAAAAAATCTGGCAAGAATTGTACACATGAGAGCGCTAACAATGCAAATTTCCATATTATCAGTATTTCTAAGGGCCACAACTCTTGTAAAAATTATTGATCGGCACTGATTTTCGAACTCGTCTGAGACACTGCTGATATAAACCTATGATATAAGTTTTATAAAAATCTGGCAAGAATTGTACATTTGAGAGCGCTAACAAACCAGACGGACGGACGCCCGGTATTTCTATGTCCCCTGTGATGCGTTACGTGGGGAACAAACATCTTTAGCCTAATACAGTCGGTTTCTTGATGAAGAACAGTTGTATATCATAAGCATTATAGTTTCATTGTTCAACAAACCATCATGCAGTTATAAAACCGAATAAAATCAGCATGAAACTACATCATGCATACAAAATGGCTGTCAACACAGTGATATGTCATGTATGTTTTGCAGAGAAATAAAAGATTGTTATGTACTGAGGATTCATTTACTTTGGTGGGTACAAATTTTTTATTGATTGGAGAACAATTGTATTAGGTTGATATTTGATTTCATGATTTTGCAAAGGTTTGCATACAAGCCTATAGAAAATTTATACTTTGTTGAAACTTTAATCTTGTTGTTCACCTATACCCATGAAAATTGGTATTTCATGAAAAAAATGAATCCATAGTAGAACAAGACAAAACCCATATTACTACATTAATATGGAACTTAATTTCAAGTCTAAGATACTAACTTCAGGAACCTGATGTTCAGTGGTTGTCGTTTGTAGCGTTGCACAAGTGTTTCTCGTTTTCTCGTTTTGTATATAGATTAGACCGTTGGTTTTCCTGTTTGAATGGTTTTACACTAGTCATATTTGGGGCCCTTAATAGCTTGCTGTTCGGTGTGAGCCAAGGCTCCGTGTTGAAGGCCGTACTTTGACCTATAATGGTTTACTTTTACAAATTGTGACTTGGATGGAGAGTTGTCTCATTGGCACTCATACCACATCTTCTTATATCTATTTACAATAGTCTTAACATTTGAAAAATTTAAAACAAGACAAATTGTGAACTATTACTCATTAATGATACCCATAGCCATAAGTATTCAGTAAACAGAAGAGTGATGCATGTGAAAATGAATACCGCAGTATATCATGCTAATATGAAGCTTGATTCTAAATTTCAGAAAAAGGTTTGCAGTTCTTGAGATGAATTGATTGATTGATGAATTAATTTTGGTGTTACAGGCTTCTTTCAGGACTATAAGTTAGATCATGGGGCCAGTTTTTATTATTGGAGGAAACTGGAGTATCCAAAAGAACCAATTACCTTCAGCAGGAAAACCTGTAGTCCTAATCAATTAAGATTGGAGTCAAACACACTGCAGTTTCAGAGAAAAATGTGAGATAAAAATTAAAAATATGGCCATAATCTATAGGATTAAACACGTTTAAGTATTCTGCTATCAGGAAGTTGATGAGCAATGAATCTAAAAATGCATCACACAGTAAAGCATGCTCAAATTAGGCTTGATAGAAATTTCAAGAAACTGATTTGTAGTTCCTGTGAGAACAATCAGTAGCCCTGGACACTTAATCTTTGCTGTACCATTGTTATACAATTTCTTAACCGTAAGTTTTTAAAAAATATCCTAGTATAAAGATCACAAAAAGTCCTAAAAAATGCCTGCAAAATATTATGCAAAAAGAGTTGTAAAGGATGAGCCCTTTGATGACATTAATTGTTAATCAATGAATTACATTTGTGCACTTAAGTTATATAAATCATAAGATATGTATTGTCAACAACTTGTATACTATAAATCTGTGTTTCTATACTGAAAATGAACATGAGAATGTTATACTCTTGATCATGATTTGAACGCTCATATTCACTAAACGATGTGCACATATCAACACTGAACAAACTGTGAAACCACAATATAACTATCAAAATGTGGACAAATAAAATACACTGACTAACCACAAATTTTGTACAAAATTTAATAAAACAAAAACAAAAAAACTTAAAGATGAAATGCAAGTCATTTGAATGTATGTTGGGCAGACATACATTTCTAGGACTGATATTAACAGATGGATGGCAGTATAGACAGACCTACAGAAGGAAGGATGGATGGACAGATGAAAACCTCCTCTGATAGTGGGGTTATAATTACGACAATAACAAAGTGCACTATGGAGGCATATCCTGATATTGTCCATAACACTAGTGGATGGATCCTATAGAGCAATATAAAGGTGTTTTTATATGAATGACTTTCACCAATTGAACTGAGATCAATCAGTGTAAGTGATGTCATTGAACAATCTGTTCTTACTGTGATGTAATAACATAAGCATTGTGGCATATGAAATGTACAGGAAAATGCTGGAATTTGAAAGTTGTCTATTACAACAGCATATCAGATATCAATGGTTCATCACTTTTTATAAAATTGACCAGCTAAAATTCATACCATTAGGCATTGACAACTATAGTGATGTTACCAAATAAGTAACATTTATGTCTTTCCTTTGGGACATTCATTGAAGGCAACACAGTAAAAACTATAAAAACATTGAAATAAAAAATATATGCAACAATATAACACTAAAAATATTTATTTCCACTTCCAGATGTCAGATTTTATTTCACTCTTTATTGCACTTTACAGCTGAAGGTTAACATAGACAGTTTTTTCTTGTCACCATTGATCCTTCTTACTATTTTGTATATACAGTGACTACAGTCTTTCATAAACAACAGCAAATCTTCATTTCTTCCTGAAATTAAAAGTTTATTTTAGTTGATACTGATGGGCACACAGCATAATTTCATTATTATTATGAATTCAGAAATTAATATAGTTTTCATCAGAGTTGAAAATGCAACTGAGTTCAAATTTCATTACTTTAACTCGAATTGTCATTTGTACATGTATCAACAGAAAATCTATCTGAGCAACATAATTATAAACACCAAACATCAGTGAGTTTTGCTTATTGAATAGAATACAAGTTCTTTGCATTTCTGTCAAAAACTTTGGTTTTAGTGAACATTATTCATGCATTTATGGGCATTGTCACTTCCTTCCCATGATGAGCGAGCGGTTGAAAAAATATGATGCTATATTGCAAGAATTATTCAGGAAATTACAGCCTGTCCCCTCTATCTGGTAAATGATGCCATAAAGGCACGCATAATTGATGAACTTTTCTGGTAAAGGACATAACCTAAAAGTGGTCTATTATATTAAATACCTGTAAACATATTATGGCAATGGAAGTTTGCCCAGATTTTTCAGTGTAAATAGGCATGATGATTTAAATATCAGCAGAGTAATTACTTAAATATTGCCTCCAGAAAAGCAAGCATTTCTGGTTTTGTTTACTTCTTATTCTTTTATTTGTCTTATAGTTTCTTCATCTGTAATACTGATTTATAAAATATTCTAAACAGGTTTTTACTGTAAGTACCTATTGTTATTCCATTGTTAAAAATAAAGAGTTTAGAAATCCACCATTCATCTTTTTGTGTGTGTGGAGACTAGTTTTTTTAAATAAATTATTTTATTCCTCAATTTCCTCAGGAAAAAAAATTGTTTCAAAAGGGAAGGGAAAAATTCTTTAGTTTCCAATGATAAATGGGGGAAAAAATATATAACATTGAGTTAAAAAAGAAATGTTTCTGTTGGTTTGTTTTGGATAAATAGTGTGTTTAGGATCAATGGTCAGTGTCTAAGTTAAGTACCCCAAAAACTAGTGCAACCTTGTGATTGTTAATACAATGCTGTCCAAAGTCAGTGACCTTGGAAGTGGTTGTTTATATCTTTATGTTTCTATCCTTTGGTGTTGATTATAGACCTTTGTGGTATCTGTTGATCATGACAAATGATATACCGGTAGACACTTGTATATTATAAAGGACCTTGTGGTGACCTTGAGATGTCTTTCTTGTTGTTATTATATTGTTAGGTTGCTGTTTCCTGTGTCTATTTAAATCTTGTATGAATATGATCAATTACAAACTTAACAAAAAGCCCACACTATGAACTTGAATTATTTTTGTTAGGTTTTGCGTTGAGTTCTTTTTCTCATTATAATGTATATTAAATGTTTAACCAATGGATAAGTCATAGTGTTACTGCATCATCTACCTTTTCTTGAGTATAGGGGTTCTGAGGGAGGGGACATGATATCTGACACAGGTACACATGAAGGGTCTGTGTTACAGCATTACCTACCTTTTCTTGAGTTTAGGGGGTTCTGAGGGAGGGGACATGATATCTGACACAGGTACAGATGAAGGGTCTGCTATACTATCACCAGCATCACTATGTGATGGGGTTTGTGGAGGCTGGCTTTTTATACTTCCTGGTTCATCATATGAATCTAAAGATATAAGTCTGAAAAAAATCACAAAAAACTGTTTTACAAACATTTCAGTCACAAGATTCAAACAAACATATCATACAATTTCACATATCTATCTATTATATAAAAAGTAAAACCTTCATACAGATACGATATTAGCATGAATTTACATTTTTTTTTTAAATGTGATGCTTTATGTATATAAAGAGTTACTAATTTATCTAAACTTTTTTTTCTGGCGTGTTTATCTAATTACTCATATGATGCATCTATATAATTGTCTGCTTTACAAACACAATGTTTTACTTGCTTGTTTTCTGGTGGTTCAATTTTAATGACCGTCCATTTTGAATCTGATTCAGTAGTAAGTCCACCTGTAGGCTCATGTTCAACTGTTATCTCAAATCCACTTAAACCTGAAAAATAAATTGTCTTCGTAGAAGATACCAAAGACAGAATGAATGTAGGATTTCTGTGACTTGTATGTGTAACAAAAATATTATTTTGAAGATGAGTGTCATTTCATTTAAGAATGTGATAAATACAACAATTTGAGATGCACTTGTAGCAAAATTTATTACTATTGACCTTCAAATTAAAGCAACTTTTATCTGTGAGAATAGGATACCAAAGAGCTTTAAAACAACCTTAGACAGTATTTATTCTCTGCAGCTAAAAAAAAGTGTAACGATGAATGATTCAAATGTTTGTTTATTATGTTTGTATGCCATTCTCCACTCCATTCATTCATTCATTATTTTATAATTTGTGTATACACACATGCACATGTAATATTATGCTGTTTATTGTCTATAGAATATCCAAATTGTGTAAATCCAATCAACTGTATTTGCTTAATGAAATAAAATATTATTATTATTACTTAATCAACCTGCCCATCATACATAAAAAATCAAATTCTTGGATACAGTAACTGTAATCACATGGAAACTTTTGTAATTATTAGAAATTCTCTATCTGTATAAAAGTGATGCAAGAAAGATAAACTAGAGGCTCTAAAGAGCCTGTGTCGCTCACCTTGGTCTATGTGCATATCATACAAAGGGCACTCTCCAACATTGTAGACAAGAATAGACTTCATGACAAAAATCTCTATTTTGTTGATCTTGTATTACTGATCTTTTAGTCTGTTTAGTTCCTCTCTATCTTCTTTAGTTTTTGCTCAAAACACAAAAGAGGGTAAAAAAAATCCTCATTTGAGGGCAATCACTCCTATGAAGAGTGACAGTTGACTAACTGTATCGGCAAAATTTGACTTTTTAATAGATCTTGCCTTGCTGATCATTTTTGTGAATTAAAGTGTTTATTTATCTATTATAATTTAAATCATATAAGGCATAAAGGAAAAAAAAATGTTTCTCTCTAAATATCATAGTTTTCATGATAATAGGCAATAAAATGCTCAGCTGGGCGCAGCTTGAAACGACCGCAGAGGTTGACCGCTGAACAGTTGGGGCAATTATGGACATAACATTCAAGCTGGATACAGCACTGAATTTGGATTGTGATTAAATATTTGACACAGCATAGGTTTCTGACACAGAATGAATGTGGTCTAAGAACTTAAAAAAATTTAATTTACCTATTCAAACCAATTATCATTATTTGCTTTTATATAAAAATCAGAAATAACCAATTTAAAATGGAAAATTTTAACGAAAAAAAAAGGAAAAAAAAATCCCCCCTCAATTTTTTCGAACCCCCTTATGATTCATCACCCCCAAACTCAATCCCAGCCTTCCCTTTGTGGTATGGTACCTTGCAGTACAATTTCAGAGAGATCTGTACACTTGAACACAAGTTATTGTCTGGAAACTAGAAAAATGCTTGTTTTTTGGCCCCAATTTGGTCCCAAGTTCCTAAACGTTTAGGGCAATTACCCCCAAACTCAAACCCAGCTTTCCCTTTGTGATATGGAACCTTGTAGTACAATTTCATAAAGATCCATACACTTACACACAAGTTATTGTCCTGAAACTAGAAAAATTCTTGTTTTTTTTCCCCTTTTTGGCCCCTAATTTCTAAAATTTTGAGGCAATAACCCCCAAAATCAATCCCAGCCTTTCCTTTGTGGTATGGTATCTTGCAGTACAATTTCAGAGAGATCCGTACACTTGAACACAAGTTATTGTCTGGAAACTAGAAAAATGCGTTTTTTGGCCCCTTTTTGGCCCCAAATTCCTAAAAGTTTAGGGCAATTACCCCAAAACTCAAACCCAGCTTTCCCTTTATGATATGGAACCTTGTAGTACAATTTCATAAAGATCCATACACTTACACACAAGTTATTGTCCTGAAACTAGAAAAATGCTTGTTTTTTTCCCCTTTTTGGCCCCCAATTCCTAAAATTTAGAGGCAATTACCCCCAAAATCAATCCCAGCCTTCCCTTTGTGGTATGGTACCTTGCAGTACAATTTTAGAGAGATCAATACACTTGAACACAAGTTATTGTCTGGAAACTAGAACTAGAGGCTTTAAAGAGCCTGTGTAGCTCACCTTGGTCTATGTGCATATTAAACAAAGGACACAGATGGATTCATGACAAAATTGTGTTTTGGTGATGGTGATGTGTTTGTAGATCTTACTTTACTGAACATTCTTGCTCCTTACTATTATCTCTATCTATAATGAACTTGGCCCAGTAGTTACAGTAGAAAATATTTTGTAAAAATTTACAAAAATTTACAAAATTGTAAAAAATTGACTATAAAGGGCAATAACTCCTTAAGGGGTCAATTGACAATTTTGGTCATGTTGACTTATTTGTAGATCTTACTTTGCTGTACATTATTGCTGTTTACAGTTTATCTCTATCTATAATAATATTCAAGATAATAACCAAAAGCTGCAAAATTTTCTTAAAATTACCAATTCAGGGACAGCAACCCGACAAGGGGTTGTCAGATTCATCTGAAAATTTCAGGGCAGATAGATCTTGACCTGATAAACAATTTTACCCCTGTCAGATTTGCTCTAAATGCTTTGGTTTCAGAGATATAAGCCAAAATCTACATTTTATCCCTATGTTCTATATTTAGCCATGGCAGCCATCTTGGTTGGTTGGCTGGGTCACCGGACACATTTTTTAAACTAGATACCCCAATGATGATTGTGGCCAAGTTTGGTTAAATTTGGCCAAGTAGTTTAGAGGAGAAGATTTTTGTAAAAGTTAAATGGACGACGGACGCCAATTGACGAGAAAAGCTCATTTGGCCCTTTGGGCCAGGTGAGCTAATCAAAGAGGTGAAAGCTCTGAGGAAAAATGACGCCACTGTCTCTTATATTGTGATATTTTTTATGTAAGTCTTGATTTTCATATACCGTAATTAGTTTAATATTACAACATGTCTCGTAAGCATATAATTGATATTCGTATATGTGTGTGTTATGTGAAGATGACAACTGGCTGTTTTTTTAGTACAAATGTATAGGTCAAGACTACCTGAATGATCTACAGTATCCAATGACTACTGGCTGTTTTTTTCTATAAATAAATAGGTCAAGACTACCAGAATGATCTACAATATCCAATGACTACTGGCTGTTCTTTTGTACTAATAAATAGGTCAAGACTATTTGAATGATCTACAATATCCAATGACTACTGGCTGTTCTTTTGTACATATAAATAAAGACTACCTGAATGATCTAAAGTATTCTAAGTAATGTGATTTTTGTCTTGCAATTACATTTTTCTAAATCAAGAATATAGACTACTAGTATCCTTTTCAAACAAAATGATTATGAAGAGCCTGTTGTTATCAAGCTCTTATACCCCACATACTCATTAAATAAGTTACTAGTGACCTAGTTATTTCTGTTACTTGAAGCAAATTATATTTCTGTAGATTTAGACAATAGTATAATATTGTTTTACTAGTTTTATTTCACCTTGAAGATTAGACAAATAGGGATACTCCTTTGATTTTTTATTTCATGTCAGTCAGGTCGCTTTATATGAAACTTGAAACCACTTCTCTGCCATATTGTTATTTCATAACAACTCTGCCCTTGACCATGTTGACCCATGTAATTGATATTCATTCTTTAACCATATATCATAGTCAGTTAGTTTTTGATTTTGCACTCCCACACCACCTTTCAGGTCAAATGTCTGTCTCCATTTAAGTTAATGACATTGAACAATCATGGTATTAAACACAATTTCAATAGTGATAATGCTGTTCTAGTAGGTCACCATATATTCAACTTGGGTAGCATTCCAGTTATTGAAATTTGTGTCAGATTAGAACAATGATCTAGACCTTTAGGAATGGACCTTTAGGGATCTTACAATTTAATATGGAGCCATAGTATGGGACCCCTACACGGTAACAAAAAAAAAACAAGCTTGAAAGGATACAACGTCAAGCAGCAAAATCTATCACCAGAAATTACAAGTCAAGAGAGGATGGACGGGATACGTCTCTAAAATGCTTGCCTAACTGGAACTACAACAAGATCTCCAGACAAGACGAACAAGGAGTTGAAGCCAGAAGTTAATATTTATGTAAAAAGTAGTTGAGGGGCTGATTCCCGCTATTGAACCATACTGTCATTCTATAATATTATTGCGTAAGTATTTCTGTATTGTCGTTGTTATTGGTCCATGTCTTGGTGTATTGGTCAGAGGCAAAGCCGAAGTCCAATACTGCTGGCCGAGGACCAACAATAAGGCCAATACAGAAATACATGTAATAGTATCTTTATTAATTAACTACAGTGTTACAATATTTTTTTATTTCATTTCACAAGAGATAAACATTTTTACCTTGAAGTGGAACTATCCAAATCTCAGTTTCTTTTTATAAGATGCAATATCTAATGATTTGGTGCCGTTTCCATGCATCTTCAGCCTTTCCTCATCTGATGAATTTTTCTACCCTTTCCTGTCACTATAAAGTGTTACAACTTTAATTTAGACACAACACATAAAAAGTAATTGGAAAGGTACTGCCATTGCATGTGTAATGCAAATATATTTTTAAAAAAAATAATGTAAGAGTTGAAATTGATACAACTATCCATAAGCTAATTGACCAAAGAACGAAGATTTGCGCAATTACAGAATGCATATGCCTGGTTCGGGTTTAAAAATAAAAGACCGTTTACAAAACATGAGAAACGAAAGTGAACAGTAAAAATCGATTTGTACCATCGACATGATGAAATTATGAGGTCCTCAAGAAATGAACTTTGTGATAATTTACTCGTTCCTTAACCTGAAATAATTCCATCGTCTACTTTCAAAATGCTTGTCAAATGAATGGGACCGTCTTTAACCTAAAATATATGCCATACTGAACGTTTCAGCTTGTTTATGGTGAGTAAATAAAAACTGCGTCGTACAAACAACTGTTTACTTTCAGTTTGAGTTTATCGTGACTTATGATCTAAAAACTAGAGACTTTCTGAAATCCTGTTTTGGCCGGATCAGAACTCGGCCAATACGGAAAAAAAATCTGTATTGGCCGAGTTGACATCTTATATTGCATATGCAGTTTTCATCATATTAAGTACAATAACAGTGTAGTTAACTAATAATGATACAGTTACAGACTCTGCTGCTATAACTTTGTAAACAAAGATTCATACGCACCGCGTGGGTATAACCGTATTACTAATTACCGATTATTAAAATCTTCGTAAATCTGGATAAAGACCAGTTTCTATCCAATGGATATCAAAATGATTCCGATTATTACTTTTTTAATGATTGTTAAGTTGAAATGGCATGAAAGGCTGACATTATTTAGGAGAACTATTTTGTCTAGCGATTGCTGATCATTGGAGGGTAAAAAGTCCAACACCATAACAAAACGGATCTATTTATCATGTATACATACCGATTGTTCTGATTGTAAGACATGTGCATAAAAGTGAAAGCTCGAATAAATATGAAAAATATAACAAAGGAATAGCTCCAAATACCATTTAATAACAAAAACAATATGGACAGGTCAAGATATCTTTTTGGTAAATAAAATAACGTATGTAAACTGGTTCCCGTCCGACTACAACACTTTGTTCGAGTGTAGCGTAATACAAGCAGATTCCAGTTAGTATGTAAAATACTAAATATGAAACCGAGTGCGGTAGGCGGAGGCATAATCAACTTCCGTTAGTTCTGGTCAATGGTATCGGAAACATGCCGCTGATAGCGTCATTTTCCAAAAATGCTTATTTTTGGCCCCTTATTCCTTAACGTTTTGGCCAATTACCCCCTAACTCAATTCCAGCTTTCCCTTTGTGATATGGAACCTTGTAGTACAATTTCAGAAAAATCCATACACTTACACACAAGTTATTGTCAGGAAACTAGAAAAATGCTTGTTTTTTGCCCCTTTTTTGGCCCCTAATTCCTAAAATTTTGAGGCAATTACCCCCAAAATCAATCCCAGCATTCTCTTTGTGATATGGAACCTTGTGGTAGAATGTCAGAGAGATCCATACACTAACACACAAGTTATGTCTGGAAGTTAAAAAAAATGCTTATTTTTGGCCCCTAATTCCTTAACTGTTAGTACCATAACCCCCAAAATCTTTCCCAACCTTCCTTTTGTGGTATTGAACCATATGGTAAAATTTCATAGAGATCCATTCACTTAAACTAAAGTTAGAGTGCGAAAACCAATGTGTCTTCGGACGACAATGACGCCGACGCCAATGTCATACCTATATACGACTGCAAAATTTTTCGGTGGTCGTATAAAAATGAAAAAAAATGGTTAATTTGTCATTTATGGGCAATAACTCCTATAAGAATTTGTCTAACAGTTTTGGCTTATATGGACAATTGGTAGAGCTCATTATTCTGAACATTTTTGCTCCTTTTAGATTTTCTCCATTTATAACGATTCAAATATAATAGACAAAACTTGCATTTTACCCCTATGTTCTATTTTTAGCCATGTCGGCCATGTTGGTTGATAGGCGGGGTCTTCGAACACATTTTTTAAAATAGATTCCCTAATGATGATTGTGGCCAAGTTTGGTTAAATGTGTTTCAGTAGTTACAGAGGAGAAGATTTTTGTAAAAGATTACAAAAATTAACAAAAAATTGTTAAAAATTGACTATAAAGGGCAATAACTCCTTAAAACAAGGAATTATTTGAATCCGGAATAATTATGAATTCTGGAAAATTGATGAGAAATATATGATGAAAACTAACCCAACTAAATAGGGTTAGCCATGCGCACATGGCTAAGCGCATGGCTAAGGTGGGTTAGTTAGTTCATACTGAAATGATAGGGAAAGTAAAATTAACCTTAGCCATGCATGCATGGCTAACCCTATTTAGTTGGGTTAGTTTTCATCATACATTTCTAATCAATTTTCCAGAATTCAAAATTATTCCAGATTCAAATAATTCCTTGTTTAAGGGGCCAATTGACCATTTTGGTCATGTTGACCTATTTGTAGATCTTTCATTGCTGAACATTATTGCTGTTTACAGTTTATCTCTATCTATAATAATATTCAAGATAATAACCAAAAACTGCAAAATTTCCTTAAAATTACCAATTCAGGGGCAGCAACCCAACTACGGAATGTCTTATTTGTCTGAAAATATCAGGGCAGATTTTTATCCCTTGTCAGATTTGCTCTAAATGCTTTACTTTCAGAGATATAAGCCAAAATCTACTATGTTCTATTTTTGGTTGGCGGGCCAGGTCATTGGACACATTTTTTAAACTAGATACCCAATGATGATTGTGGTCAAGTTTGGTTAAATTTGACCCAGGAGTTTCAGAGGAGAAGATTTTTGTAAAAGTTAACGGACGATGACGGATGCCAAGTGATGAGAAAAGCTCACTTGGCCCATAGGGCCAGGTGAGCTAAAAACCAACAAAACATAAATTTAATGTGGCCTTACCTTCTAATAGTAATAAATGTTCATCTGTTATATCATCATTTGATGTGGCCTTACCCTCTAATTGTAATAAATGTTCATCTGTTATATCATCATTTGACGTGGCCTTACCTTCTAATTGTAATAAATGTTCATTTGTTATATCATCATTTGATGTGGCCTTACCCTCTAATTCAAATAAATGTTCATCTGTTATATCATCATTTGATGTGGCCTTACCTTCTAATTGTAATAAATGTTCATCTGTTTTATCATCATTTGATGTGGCCTTACCCACTAATTGTAATAAATGTTCATCTGTTATATCATCATTCGATGTGGCCTTATCTTCAAATTGTAATAAATGTTCATCTGTTTTATCATCATTTGATGTGGCCTTACCCACTAATTGTAATAAATGTTCATCTGTTATATCATCATTTGATGTGGCCTTACCTTCTAATTGTAATAAATGTTCATCTGTTACATCATCATTTGATGTGGCCTTACCTTCTAATTGTAATAAATGTTCATCTGTTATATCATCATTTGATGTGGACTTACCCTCTAATTGTAATAAATGTTCATCTGTTATATCATCATTTGATGTGGCCTTACCTTCTAATTGTAATAAATGTTCATCTGTTATATCATCATTTGATGTGGCCTTACCCACTAATTGTAATAAATGTTCATCTGTTATATCATCATTTGATGTGGCCTTACCCACTAATTGTAATAAATGTTCATCTGTTATATCATCATTTGATGTGGCCTTACCTTCTAATTGTAATAAATGTTCATCTGTTATATCATCATTTGATGTGGCCTTACCTTCTAATTGTAATAAATGTTCATCTGTTATATCATCATTTTCATCAAACACAGGAAACTGAATCTCTGAACTTGGTTCTTCTTTTATCCTTGAGAAACGAACAGTTAAATGCAAAAGATGTAATGTTATCAAAATACATTTTAAGGCCACACAAGATGTCAAAATGTCTTTTTTTAATAAAATTGTGTGGATTGATTACTGTCTCATAGACTTTTACAGTTATGCCACAATTCCTTTTATTTATAAAATTAAGGAAATAAGGTACGAATGAATCCCAATACAGCACCTATCCATAAAGACTATAACAAAACAGTTATAATTTAATGATAAACTATTACGGCAAACAGCAACCAATAACAACTGGATTACAGGCCCCTTGCTTGGTTAAGGCAAATAAATAAAGTGGCAGGGTTAAACATGTTTTGAGCACTATAACATCACTCAATCTGGTACAGTGGTATAACAACACATTCTACATGTATATATTGTTTTTTTTAATTCAAATCAGAAATTTATCATAAAAACATATTCTTGACTAAAAAACTAAAATTAGGTTTTATATAAATTGTTTACCTTATAACAGGTACTGTATCAGGTGTTTTCTGTGTCACAGGTTGCATTAATTTCTCATACTCTTGCATTAATTGTTGACATGTATGTTCCATATTTTTGCTGTAGTTTATAATTCTTGATTGATAATAGTCATTTAAGTTTGTAACACTGCCTAATTTCATTTCATGGAAAACTTGTTCTATAAGATCCTGAAAATATAATACCAGGTACAATATAAAAATTAGGCAAAGTGGTATAATGTTCCAATGAGACAACTACATGTATCCAACAAAGTCCAAAAGATGTGGAAATAAATAACTATAGGTCAATGTACAGCCGTACAACAATAAGCAACACCCTAACTGTATACTTATCTATAAGTTTATCAAATTGGTATATCTTTATCTTTTATGAAATGATAGTTTTCTAACTACTGTTAAAATGTTCTATGTTATTATTTTATAAGGGGTCTTCCAATGAAAACAGAATGATTAATATCATTATCTGTAAATTACTAGTTTAGACTTCTGTGTTTGTTTCGTATGGAAACAATTTAAATGGCTCCTCATTTTCTATAATGACTTGTAGGTTGTAGGCCGAGAAATCAAGCTGGTTCACATTTACATATACAGATCTATAGACCTAATTGCTATTTTGGATTAAGCAACACTTGACCCAGTTTTGGTAAAATTGTCAAACTATATCATTCAATAAATAACTTTGCAGTGTTGCATACAAAATTAATGGGAATGTCTGTGATGTCTCTAAATAGCTGACAAACAGTAATAAGGTTGTGGTGTACTTGATTCCCTTCTCAGATAGTTTAACCATGACCTGCCAAATATGATTTACCTTAAGTAAATATTTTTTTCTTAAAAAGTACCATAATTGCCAAAATTGTAAATCATTATAGAGCAAACTGAAAGATGATCAGAATAGAAACAAATAAAGGCAATAGTAGTATACCACTGTTCAATAGTCATAAATCGATTTAACTGAAACAAATCCGGGTCACAAACCAAAACTGAGGGAAACACATCAACTTTAAGAGGAAACAAAACTATAAGAGGAAACAAAACTATAAAAGGAAACAAAACTATAAGAGGAAACAAAACTGTCCATATATCAACAAATTTTGACTAGTTCGTTATTTCATCAAATCTTTTTCTTGCATACAATGTGTCATTTCTAGAAAAACCTCTAACTTACTCTAAACACTGTGGACTTTGGGACATATTTTCATTCAGCAACTGTAGTATGAAGAATCCTTAGTTACTAAGAGACCACAACTATCAATAGAGATTTTGATAGGCCCTTGGGGAGATACTTCTAAAAAACCTACTGTTTAATTTGTTTCCACTTTTTTTTAAACTCTGCTGAACAGACAAAATTATATGTACATTTGTTTTCTATAGGCTGACAATCAATGAATTGTTTTGGCACTTTTCTACAAAATAGTGATTATTTTACTTCATTCTCTTTTTAATCTGACACTTATTTAGAGATAAAAAAACTCAAGACTTTGATCAAGTGTATGAATACCATGGACATTTCCATCACTTTGAAGAAGGAGAATATATCATACCAAAAAAATTCATACCAAACATTAATATATCAAAGAAATTTCAATTCAATTAAGGAATGACTGTAATATTTTTTTTGTCTATGAAGAAATAACATCAAATAAAATGCTTCGCTGGGGCGCAGCTTGATACGACCGCAGAGGTCGAACCCTGAACAGTTGGGGCAAGTATGGACACAACATTCAAGCTTGATACAGCTCTGAATTTGGATTGTTATTAAATATTTGACACAGCATAGGTTTCTGACACAGAAAGAATGTGGTCTAAGAATTTTTTTAATTTACCTATTATGGTCCAATGTCCAAAATCAAAATACATGGTTAGATTCAGCATATCAAAGAACCCCATATATTCAATTTTTGTTAAAATCAAACAAAGTTTAATTTTGGACCCCAACTTGGACAAACTTGAAAACTGGGCCCATAATCAAAAATCTAAACACATGTTTAGATTCAGCATATCAAAGAACCCCAAGAATTCAATTTTTGCTAAAATCAAACTAAGTTTAATTTTGGACCCTTTGGACCTTAATGTAGACCAATTTAAAAAACGGGACTTAAAATTAAAAATCTAAATACACGGTTAGATTTGGAATATCAAAGAACCCCAATAATTCAATTTTTGATGAAATCAAACAAAGTTTAATTTTGGACCCTTTTGACCTCAATATGAACCAATTTGATAGCGGGGCCCACAAATAAAAAATCTAAATTCATGGTTAGATTCAGCATATCAAAGAACCCCATATATTCAATTATTGTTGAAATCAAAAAAAGTTTAATTTTGGACCCCAACTTGGACAAACTTGAAAACTGGGCCCATAATCAAAAATCTAAACACATGTTTAGATTCAGCATATCAAAGAACCCCAAGAATTCAATTTTTGCTAAAATCAAACAAAGTTTAATTTTGGACCCTTTGGACCTTAATGTAGACCAATTTAAAAAACGGGACTTAAAATTAAAAATCTAAATACACGGTTAGATTTGGAATATCAAAGAACCCCAATAACTCAATTTTTGATGAAATCAAACAAAGTTTAATTTTGGACCCTTTTGACCTCAATATGAACCAATTTGATAGGGGGGCCCACAAATAAAAAAATCTAAATACATGGTTAGATTCAGCATATCAAAGAACCTCATATATTCAATTTTTGTGGAAATCAAACAAAGTTTAATTTTGGACCCCAATTTGGACCAACTTGAAAACTGGGCCCATAATCAAAAATCTAAATACTTGTTTAGATTCAGCATATCAAAAAACCCCATATATTCAATTTTTGTTGAAATCAAACAAAGTTTAAATACTGGACCCTATCTTGGACCAACTTCAAAACTGGGCCCATAATCAAAAATCTAAACACATGTTTAGATTCAGCATATCAAAGAACCCCAAGAATTCAATTTTTGTTAAAATCAAACTTAGCTTAATTTTGGACCCTTTGGACCTTAATGTAGACCAAATTAAAAAACAGGACCCAAAATTAAAAATCTAAATACACGGTTAGATTTGGAAAATCAAAGAACCCCAATAATTCAATTTTAGATGAAATCAAACAAAGTTTAATTTTGAACCCTTTTGACCTCAATATGAACCAATTTGATAACGGGGTCCACAAATAAAAAATCTAAATACATGGTTAGATTCAGCATATCAAAGAACCCCATATATTCAATTTTTTTTTAAATCAAACAAAGTTTAATTTTGGACCCCAATTTGGACTAACTTGAAAACTGGGCCAAAAATCAAAAATCTAAATACATGTTTAGATTCAGCATATCAAAGAACCTCATATATTCAATTTTTGCTAAAATCAAACAAAGTTTAATTTTGGACCCTTTGGACCTTAATGTAGACCAATTTGAAAACTGGACCCAAAATTAAAAATCTAAATACACTGTTAGATTCGGCATAACAAATAAATAAATGTGATCAAAGATTTTACAAATCTAATGCGCCATACTGTGCAATTAAATATTACTTCTTGAAATTTTTCAATATTTGAAATTTGAAAAAAAAATAATATTTGAAGAATAATTCTTTTTAATTTCTGAAATCTGAAATGAGAAAAAATTGACCCCCCACAATTTCTTTTTATCCCCCCCCCCCCCCCACACACCTTTTTTCCCCCAAAAAATTCTTTCCCTCAAGATGTAGTCATAATCTCAATTCAAATTTCCAATGGAGTTGGCAACCATAATTACCCATTTAAATTTACCATAGTGCTAACTTAATCTATTTTATAATAGAATTAAAAATATAGTGTCTAATCTTTCATATGGATTTTTTTGTAAAAAAAAAAGATGCAACATTTGCAGATATTTTTACTGGTCTTCCTTTATAAATATGCATTTCTTTAAACATAATTTAAAAGCAGTGTAAGGGAAGTAACTAAAACGTTGTATTTGGATTACCTCCCTTACACTGTTTTAAATTATCTTTATTGTTCATTAACCATTACTTTATACATAATTTAAAAGCAGTGTAAGGGAGATAATTTCAATGATGTATTTGATTTATCTCCCTTACACTGCTTTAAATTATGTTTTGTACTAAAGTATTTGTCCATTAACCAGGACAACCTTGTTTTTCCCCCTTTTTTGCCCCTAATTCCTAAACGGTTTGAGCCATAACCCCCCAAAGCAAATCCTTACCATCCCTTTGTGGTATGGAAACTTGTAGTATAATTTCAGAGAGATCCATACACCGTTGCACAGTTATTGTCTGGAAACTAGAAAATGCTTATTTTTGGCCCCTTTTTGGCCCCTAATTCCTTAACTGTTGGTACCATAACCCCCAAAATCAATCCCAACCTTCCTTTTGTGGTATTTAACCTTATGGTCAAATTTCAAAAAGATCCATTCACTTAAACTAAAGTTAGAGTGCGAAAACCAATGTGTCTTCGGACGACGACGCCGGACGACGAAGACGACGACGCCAACGTCATACCAATATACGACCACAAAATTTTTTTGCAGTCGTATAAAAAGTGGCGCACACTGAATAAACCCGCATAGCGGGTTATTTTAAAGTGTGCACCACATTTTTTATGTTATTTCGAATAGACAGAAAAAATATTACAGTCATTTCTTATAATTTAATTCTAAATTCCATTTTAAACCAGAGTAAACCATGAGAAAACATTGATGACGTCATGGTCACATGACAAAATTATGTCTATGAGCTGATAAACAAAATAACGTCAGCCAATCAGAAGACGTGTTACATCCAAAATTAAATTATTAGATCATAACAGATGTTAATATATTATTTGAATAATCTGAAAGTTGTATTGTTTCTAAATAAACCTGCCCCTTAATTATTTCAAAGAGAGTCAAGAAAAAAACACAGCCTTAGTACCATTTTTCTGACTAGTTAGAAGTCATTCACATTTTATACAATTACTCTTACAAGTCTTTCATGAAAAAATACTCTGTCCTTTTGAATTTTTAAAACATAGCCATTATTTTACTGTACAACTTACAGGAAAACCAGCATGTCCATGTAATAATTTACTGTCGACTGCTGATCTGAGATGAGTGGTGAACTGGAGATAAAATTCATGTAAAATACACGATAATGTATCTAATACTGATTCATTACAATCTGAAAAAAAATAAAACTGGGCTAATATTTTGCAGAATTTTATTTCATTTGGCTTCTATATCCTTTTTTTTTTGGCTCAATGGAACTATTTCTTTTTACATACTTTAAAACTTCTTACTGTATGTACTACTGGCTACCATAATTGACTTGATATTTTAAATGCTCAATCAGAAGAAAATATGAATGTGTCTAAAAGATGTTAAAAAAAACTTAAAAACAATAACTGGTCTTACTGTCAAATCCCAAATGAGCAAATATGGCTGCCACAGATCTTTGAACAAGACGTCTGCAAGTAACATCATCTAACACTGGGGGAGGCTCCCCTTTTCCTTTTACAAAATCACTGAAAGTAGAAAAAAGTTTTTATTCATGAACATTATTCCATCATGTCCTTGATATGAAACTTATTTATTCAATTGAAGTAAAATATCTATTCCTGTCAATTCAAAAACCTAGAAAATTCCCATTGTCACCAAAAAGTTACCAGTAACTGTTTTACAAGTAACACTTTATATTTTTCAGTATCACTCCAAACAGATCTGCTTAACTCTTTGTCATTTGGTCTCTGGTGGATAGTTGTCTCATTGGTAATTCTACCATCTCCTTATTTTCATGTTTTAATAGGCTATCTGGGTCATGTGTTGTTTATGCAGTAGTATTTTTTAGAGGGAATCAGGAGTTGGTGGTTGGTGTGGCTTGTAGTACTGTCGCATATTTTATGTATTTTTCTGACCTAATTAAGGTTCTTATTTTTATTATTACAAAATTTCATACCTGTAACATCAAGAGAAATTTTTTTCCTAGCAAATTTTCATCTTTTTCTTCAAATGATTGTATTTCTAAAACAAGCAAACAGACCTGTTTCTATATCACCCTATTATTCATTCACTATAAAAAAAACAGACGTTTTCTCTGAAATTTGGGTGTTTTGAATTTTTCGGCAGCAAAATCCTTTAAATGATTTATTTAGGAAAACGTGAGGAAATTGTGTGGATTCAGTTATATTTGTTGGTACCAATTTTCGTAAATTAAGAAAAGATTGTCTTTTTCTTGGATAATTGATTTCATGGATTTACAAAAGTCTGCATACAAGGCTATAGAATATTAGTACTTGGTTGGACATATAAATTCTTGGTTCACCTGTACCTACGAAAATCATCGATTATCATTATACCACAAATAATACTGAATCCACAGTAATATCCTTTCATTTCATACCTTTCATAATCTTTCGGGATAAATGGTAAATGTCCATATTTGTTATGTTTTAATGGAGGACCAGTGTATTCTGGTATAGGGGGAGCTGTAGGGTACTGAATATCTGTATCACCATTTCTCTGAAATACATTTGTAAATGATTATTCACAACAATCATGACAATGAAATATTTCATTTATTAATCATTAACTGTTCATTTTTTGAAACAAAAACAGCCTCATTGCATCAAACCAAAATCATTTTTTAAATTTTTTAATGAAATCAGATTTTAAGGTATAATACAGAACAGAAACCATTACAGGTGACACCCAGTCATCACCTTGCCAGTTAGTTTCTAACATTCTTAAGATATAAAATATTTTCCCTTTTGTTTACTCAAGTCATTCTTATATATATAGGTTGAGGTGACCCAGTTTTCAAATAGCCTTTATCTCAACACACATCAAAAATAGCTTCATTCATGAATTAAAAGTAATCACAGCTCAGAGTTCTACATATTATATAAGACACCTGTCTACTATTGAAAAATGTTTGTTGCCCTCTTGATGTCTACTGGTTATTTTTGTTGTCAGGTTATTGAATCATTGACTTATACTCCACAACTATATTGCATGGACCTTCCTTACAATCCGAGATATTGGTACTGAAAAAAATTCATTCCTCTTTAACTTGAAAGTTGTCAACTATTGCTTCGTTCTAGACTGTCAATGCAAAACTTCATCAGTTATTTATGAGTAAAAATGAAGGTAAAAAAGCACATTAGATATACAGTTATATTCTTGTACACTTCAGGTTCTGGAATGACCTTTATCAAGTGTGCTTGAGATCCAAAGTTTTAACAGCAAAAATTATTAAACATTTAAAAGCTGAAACAAAACATCAAACTTTGCTTACTATATAAAGCTCATTTTTGCCTGATGGAACTGCAACCTTAACTTTACACTAATTGCATAATTTTATATGGACTGCAAATTTAGACACAAAATGTGTCATTAAATCACGGCAATACCAAAGCACACCAAATTGGGCAAGGTGGTAAACTAACGAAAAGATAGCTCTACACTAGCTAAATCTACCCACTAGTAAGAAAAAATTGTATGATATGAATTCCAAGGTGGGCAAATTTTCCCTGACCTTTATTACAACTTATGATTTGTGCACTGATAAAGTATTATTCTTCTATAATTATCTGTGGAAAAAAAAACTCATCAAAGATACCAGGCTTATAACTTTGTATGCCATATGCACTTTTCATCTACAAAGGACTCATCTAAAATTGCAAAGACCTGTAACTTAATATTAAACATGATATCTTTTACATGGAAAAATAAAAGGAATAAAATGCTTCGCTGGGCGCAGCTTGATACGACCGCAGAGGTCGAACCCTGAACAGTTGGGGCAAGTATGGACACAACATTCAAGCTTGATACAGCTCTGAATTTGGATTGTGATTAAATATTTGACACAGCATAGGTTTCTGACACAGAAAGAATGTGGTCTAAGAACTTGAATTTTTTTAATTTACCTATTATGGTCCAATGTCCAAAATCAAAATACATGGTTAGAATCAGCATATCAAAGAACCCCATACATTCAATTTTTGTTGAAATCAAACAAAGTTTAATTTTGGACCCCAACTTGGACCAACTTGAAAACTGGTCCCATAATCAAAAATCTAAACACATGTTTAGATTCAGCATATCAAAGTACCCGAAGAATTCAATTTTTGTTAAAATCAAACTAAGTTTAATTTTGGACCCTTTGGACCTTAATGTAGACAAATTTAAAAAACGGGACCCTAAATTAAAAATCTAAAAACACAGTTAGATTTGGCATATCAAAGAACCCCAATAATTCAATTTTTGATGAAATCAAACAAAGTTTAATTTTGGACCCTTTTGACCTCAATATGAACCAATTTGATAGCGGGCCCACAAATAAAAAATCTAAATACATGGTAAGATTCAGCATATCAAAGAACCCCATATATTCAATTTTTGTTGAAATCAAACAAAGTTTAATTTTGGACCCCAATTTGGACCATCTTGAAAACTGGGCCAAAAATCTAAAATCTCAATACATGTTTAGATTCAGCATATCAAAGAACCCCATATATTCAATTTTTGTTGAAATCAAACAAAGTTTAATTTTGGACCCCAACTTGGACAAACTTGAAAACTGGTCCCATAATCAAAAATCTAAACACATGTTTAGATTCAGCATATCAAAGAACCCCAAAATTTCAATTTTTGTAAAAATCAAACTAAGTTTAATTTTGGACCCTTTGGACCTTAATGTAGACCAATTTAAAAAACAGGACCCAAAATTAAAAATCTAAATACACGGTTAGATTTGGCATATCAAAGAACCCCAATAATTCAATTTTTGATGAAATCAAACAAAGTTTAATTTTGGACCCTTTTGACCTCAATATGAACCAATTTGATAGCGGGCCCACAAATAAAAAATCTAAATACATGGTAAGATTCAGCATATCAAAGAACCCCATATATTCAATTTTTGTTGAAATCAAACAAAGTTTAATTTTGGACCCCAATTTGGACCAACTTGAAAACTGGGCCAAAAATCTAAAATCTAAATACATGTTTAGATTCAGCATATCAAAGAACCCCATATATTCAATTTTTGTTGAAATCAAACAAAGTTTAATTTTGGACCCCAACTTGGACCAACTTGAAAACTGGGCCCATAATCAAAAATCTAAACACATGTTTAGATTCAGCATATCAAAGAACCCTAAGAATTCAATTTTTGTTAAAATCAAACTAAGTTTAATTTTGGACCCTTTGGACCTTAATGTAGACAAATTTAAAAAAGGGACCCAAAATTAAAAATCTAAATACACGGTTAGATTCGGCATATCAAAGAACCCCAATAATTCAATTTTTGATGAAATCAAACAAAGTTTAATTTTGGACCCTTTGGACCTCAATGTGGACCAATTTAAAAACGGGGCCCAAAATCTAAAAAATTAATACACGGTTAGATTCAGCATATTAAAGAACCCCAAGAATTCAAGAATAAAACCCCATTGAAATTGATCAAGAAATAAGCAATTTATACGAAGTATCTTCTTTTGCACAATACTGTGCAATTGAATATTTCTTGCTATTGCGCAATACTGTACAATTGACAATTTCTTGCTATTGCGCAATATTGTGCTATTGGATATTTCTTGCTATTGCGCAATACTGTTAAATTGAAGATTTCTTGCTATTGCGCAATACTGTGCAATTGAAGATTTCTTGCTATTGTGCAATACTGTGCAATTGAAAATTTCTTGCTATTGCACAATACTTATTATATAATAATTTACACATCCTGTTTGGTGTGTATCTCCTACCATATCATTATTATTTGCTTTTAAATATAAATCAGAAATAACCAACTTAAAATGGTAAATTTTAAAAGAAAAAAAAAAGGAAAAAAAGAAAAAAAAAAAAAAAAAAATCCCCCCCCCCCAAATTTTTTGAACCCCCTTATGATTCATCACCCCCAAACTCAATCCCAGCCTTCCCTTTGTGGTATGGTACCTTGCAGTACAATTTCAGAGAGATCCATACACTTGAACACAAGTTATTGTCTGGAAACTAGAAAAATGCTTATTTTTGGCCCCTTTTTGGCCCCCAATTCCTAAACGTTTCGGGCAATTACCCCCAAACTCAATTCCAGCTTTCCCTTTGTGATATGTAACCTTGTAGTACAATTTCAGAAATATCCAAACACTTACACACAAGTTATTGTCATGAAACTAGAAAAATGCTTGTTTTTTGCCCCTTTTTTGGCCCCTAATTCCTAAAATTTTGAGGCAATTACCCCCAAAATCAATTACAGCCTTCCCTTTGTGATATGGAACCTTGTGGTACAATGTCAGAGAGATCCATACACTTACACACAAGTTATTGTCTGAAAGTTACAAAAATGCTTATTTTTGGCCCCTTTTTGGCCCCTAATTCCTTAACTGTTGGTACCATAACCCCCAAAATCAATCCCAACCTTCCTTTTGTGGTATTGAACCTTATGGTGAAATTTCATGGAGATCCATTCACTTAAACTAAAGTTAGAGTGCGAAAACCAATGTGTCTTCGGACGACGCCGGACGACGCCGGACGACGCCGGACGACGACGACGACGACGACGACGACGACGACGACGACGACGACGCCAACGTCATACCAATATACGACCAAAAAATTTTTAATTTTTGCGGTCGTATAAAAATGAATAGACTGCTGATGAAGAAAAGAATGGATGAAATTTCTTTGTCTAGAAATGAAAAGATATAATTGGTTATTTAGGGAGAAATGATTAACTATTTAATTAAATCATATTCACTATGTATTGTGGATTCATAATAATTCGTGGGATACCAATTTGTGTGGACCTCGTGGGTTAAGGTGAAATTTTTTTATAAAGTCCTTTATGCTGACTGTCAAAACCACAAAATCAAATATCTATGAAAACATATATTTTCCTCAATCCTCAAAATTGGTACCCATGAAAAAAATGAATCAACAGTATAGTATAAACATATCCTTACATTTTCTTGGTTTGCTGTTTGTAAATTACTGATCAAAAGTCGTACTTTCTTTGCATGCTGTACCAATCTGATAGTATGAGCCGTTAGAGGATCCAGTTCAAATCTTTCTGCAGGTAATGGACTGTAATTTAATGTATGCACAATTATTTTAGGAACAAAATCTGACAGGTGAGTCAATACTTATGACTTTTATCTTTATTCAATTATTTTAAATGTATAATTCAGTTGTTGTCCTAAAGATGTCAATAGGGAAAACACATTAATTGAAGGAGTTAACTGAGGATCAGATCTATACGTTTTTAACCAAGATGAAAACATTTTTATGCATTTGAGGATGTTTCATATATTCAGTATATGTAAAAATGTATAAGCATCAACCAATTGTGACTACCACTGTGTGCCAAAGTCATTTATCATACATAAAATACATGTATTAGGAGTTTTTAAAATTACTCATTAGTAGGAGGACAATGTCTAGAAGATGGCTGGTGTAGTCTTGGTCCCTCTACTTCTATAGGTCGAAGTTTTGTTAGCTGTTCACGTTCTACTGCAGCTATTCCAGCATCTACATCAGGCACTGATGGTAATTCTCCCCATTTTCTTTTTTTATCCATCTTTCTTCTTATAAAAAGAAAAGATTGTTAAAATTAGCATGATATAACTTCCCTTGAGCTAGTTTTCAACTTCATATTGCTGATTTGAGACGTTTCAATATCTTGCAGTTACATGTACAAATAAACTGTATAAAGAATCACAGAAGATATGGGCAAGCATATTCGGCATTATTGCCTCCAGATATATTATCTTTGTGTGTGCAGTTATAAAACCTGGAATCAGTCAAATAATGCAGACCAAAGATAATTTCTGTTCCAAGAGCTATTTGATATAAATGGTTCTATACACATGACAATAATTCACATAATAACACTTGACATCGAAATTCAAATTATAAATCTGATTCCTTGTAGATGTACATGTATCAAGAATTTACATTTGTCTGTCTGTCAGTTATAATTATGTTGGATTTTTGAATATTTCATAAAAATGAATATTTTCCCAAATCTAGAAAACTGGAAAGTCATGAACAACAGGTAAACCAACTAGAAAAAAGTGGTGTTTTTTATTAGATTCTTTAATCTACAACGTATGCCTGTACAGTTACACAGTTCAGGGCCCAGGACAATGCAGAGCTATATTTGCACTGGGGATCGATGGTAATAGGTGGCTGTCAGTGGGTGACATGTATCACAGATATTTTGATTGGGAAATATTGGGATATGTGTTTACTAACCTAAAGAAACAGTGAAAAAAATTTCAAGTATTTCCATTGGTTAGAGTCTTAGAGAGGATATATCGTTATTGATAAAGATTTTCTAAGCTTCTGTGTACCAAATCACCTACACATTTTAATATATCAATGATGTACATGTATTGTTTTATGAGTTTAGGTTCACAGAAGGTATTGACCAATATTTCGTAGTTTGTTTACACCACAAAATTTTCTGGGAGTACAGACAATCCTGTGCATCTGGAAAAGTGTTAAGGCATGACAGAACCTAGATAAATCAAATTTAATTGATAATTATCATGATTACCGTATATTCAACAATATTATAAGGTTTTGATATGCAATTCATTTCAGTTTCTTCAGAAGGTGCTAAAACAAACTACATGTACATTTGTAAGATGTTTGAGAAGTTTCCCTCATATTATAATTGTGTTGATTGAGGGGTCGCCCTGCTATTCTGACACCCCATTGGCTCGAACCATAATAGTCTGACATCCCATTTGTCCCACACCCCATTAGTTCGACACCCCAATAGTCGTCACATGTGCAGGTTGTAATTGAAAACCTAGTTCATAGAATCGGTAGACATGGTTTTTGAACTTGTGTCTTCTCTCCCTTCTGAGTATAAAGAATTAAATGAAAAAGACAGAACGTCCAGTCTGGTATGTAAAAATACCATGATCCTACAAATATAAGGCAATTAAATGAAAAAGACAGCATGTCCTGTCTGGTATGTCAAAAATACCATATTCCTACAAATATAAGGCAATCTACAACCTTGCAACATGTTGCTTTACTACAACAATTGTGACCTAGCTATTTCATAAAAAATAAACTGCTTCGCCGAGCACAGCTGGATATTACCGCAGAGGTCCAACCCTGAAGGTGTAATACCACCATTGATTTTCCCCTATTAGTCTTTGTAAAATTTGCACTTTTCAAAAAATTGTGCAGAATTTATCTTTGTTTCAAATAAAGAAATACTTGGCATGAGTAAAGTTTTATCCTGTCCAGAACTATAGAAAAAATTTCACATAACATTTCATTGCATATAAGAAAATAACCATCACTGGAAGTTAACCAATCAAATTTTCCCCCTTTTTTAACCTGTGTACAAGCTTTAGTAACCATGTAACCTCAAGTTTCCAAAATATTCTATAGAAACCCCAAATAAAGAAATAATGGTGCTTTGAAATACCCAAGATATATGTTTATGACTCAGAAATGTTTTACTGCAATGAAATGTAGGATCAATTACCTACAACTGTCAAATTCAAGGGAATATTTTTTTTCGACCTATTTTCGTATGCAACCGGATGTGACGTACTATGATTTGGTGGTATTACACCTAAAGAAGACTTTTTTGTTGAATAAACTGAATGTGACTTTTTTCCTTTGTAATACTGGTTATTTCAAGCATTCCTGTCAAGTTTTGTCATAATCAGTTCAATAGTTTGAGAAAAATCTAGTATAATGTAAGACGACATCTACAACGATTCGAGCAAAATTTCTTCGAAAAATTCAAACCAAGCCGCATCATGATAGAATATAGTGTGGACCAATAAATGATCAAATATTTATCTCATCTGCCTACAAACAGTTGAATATGATACAAAAGATGACTTTAGGATGATAAATACTACTAATGGACCTCTTATTCTTCCTTATAAAGTCTCTTTTGGTCCATTTATACCTCTCATTTCCTCAAAATTTCTACTTTTTAGGCCAATAAATAAAAATTTTGGGGTAACTTTCACTCATTTATGATAGGAATGTTATTATAAATGATTAATTGAAGTATTCAAGCTGCTTGAACTATCCGTATAAAAGTTTACTGTCTCCAAGGAGGTTTCAATAAGTCCTTGCGTAAAACTTAAATTTACGCCGCGTTCCAGAGAGGGACATAAAAAACTTCTCTTTTGGTGAATAATTTGTTGTTACTGCTTTAAAAATAATTTCATTTACTTAAAACTATATATTTATTAAAGTATTTCTTAGGAAAAATTTTCTAGTATAGCAGAATATAAGAAATAAGGAGAAAAAGCTCCCCAAGACTCTAAGTATGGTTTGTTCTGTCAACTAATATTCATGGTAAAGTCCTATTTCAAGGAAATTTTCTCATAAAATGTATTTTGGAGACTCAATCCACTCAGAATATTTCATTATTTGTAATATTTCACTTAAATAGCAAGAAATTTTAACACATGAGAGTACTCACAAGGTCAAAGGTGCATGTACAGCTTCCCATATTAGGTGTAATACCACCATTGATTTTCCCCTATTAGTCTTTGTAAAATTTGCACTTTTCAAAAAATTGTGCAGAATTTATCTTTGTTTCAAATAAAGAAATACTTGGCATGAGTAAAGTTTTATCCTGTCCAGAACTATAGAAAAAATTTCACATAACATTTCATTGCATATAAGAAAAATAACCATCACTGGAAGTTAACCAATCAAATTTTCCCCCTTTTTTAACCTGTGTACAAGCTTTAGTAACCATGTAACCTCAAGTTTCCAAAATATTCTATAGAAACCCCAAATAAAGAAATAATGGTGCTTTGAAATACCCAAGATATATGTTTATGACTCAGAAATGTTTTACTGCAATGAAATGTAGGATCAATTACCTACAACTGTCATATTCAAGGGAATATTTTTTTTCGACCTATTTTCGTATGCAACCGGATGTGACGTACTATGATTTGGTGGTATTACACCTGAACAGTTGGGCCAAAAATGGACACAATATTCAAGCTTGATACAGGTCTGAATTTGGATTGTAATTAAATATTTGACACATTATAGGTTTCTGACACAGAATAAATGTAGTCAAAGAACTTAAATTGGTTGTATGATTTGAATTTATATTCAACTGAATATTTCTTGCTGTTGTGCAATACACTGTGCTGTTGCGCAATACTTAGTAAATCTGTTTTCAGACTATATACAAAGAATTAGCAAAATAAATTGTGACCCCCCAATTTTTTTCTTTGGAAAATTGACAATTTCTTAAATCTTGAGGAAAAAAAAATTGACCCCCCCAAAAAAAAAATTTTTTTTTACTCCCCCCCCCCCCCCTCCCCCCCTTCCCAAAAAAATAATATTTGAAGAGAATTTTCTTTGAGGAAAAGAAGAGGAAAAAAATTGCCCCCCCCCAAAAAAAAAATGTACCCCCCCCCCCCCCCCCCCCCCCAAAAATTAATTTTGAAGAAATTTTCTTTTTGTAAAATGTGGTACAAATTAAGAGACATCCATACACTTAAACACAAGTTATTGTCTGAAAACTAGAAAAATGCTTGTTTGAGACCCTTTTTGGCCCCTAATTCCTGAATGGTTTGGGTAATTACCCCCAAAATGAATCCCAACCTTTCACTTGTGGTATTGAACCTTGTGGTACAATTTCAGAGCAATCAAAATACTTATACACAAGTTTTTGTCCTGAAACTAGAAAAATGTTTGTTTTGGCCCCTTTTTGGCCCCTAATTCCTAAACGGTTGGGACCATCACCCCCAAAAACAATCCCAACCTTTCTTTTGTGGTATTGAACCTTTTGATTAAATTTCATAGAGATCCATACACTTAAACTATAGTTATTGTCCAGAAACCAAATGTCTTTGGACGACGACGACGACAAAGTGATACCAATATATGACTGCGGTCTTATAAAAACCACTCTGCTAAGAAGTGAATTTGATTGATAGATTGCTGTTTGCTTTATGTCCTGTTGCAAATATATCAAGCATGTTCAGGATGAGAAATACATTTTTTTACAATTATAATAATACAATAAGAAGGTCCTTAAATAGGATATTGCCTTGATTAAAGGGCAGAAAAATTGGACTGCCACTAGAAAATGAGGGTATATTGAACAGAATTCTGACCGCTCATGGCTTCATATTTATACATCCCACACAGCCAAACAGATGCTCCACATTTGCAAGGGTCTTATGAACGTACATAAAAAAGACCAAAAGTGAGCACATTTCTATACCATAATCCCAGTCACCCTTGGAATGAAGAGAATTTGAAGAACCGTCTCTAGTTGTAAAGGAAAATCTGCTGACTGCAATATACTCCCAAAAATGGTCCTCCTGTTCTATGCGAAACGAGCAAGACACCACTGATATGGTAGCATACTTTAATAATCTGGACTGGAGTTCTTGATGGAAAATCCAAATTAATAGGATAAGGTAGCCAGAGAAACCATCACCAGAGTCATGATTGTATCCTATTCAGACAAGGGAATATATACTGTTTTACACTAAATTCTTCCTCTTCATTTTTGTATTTTTCAGAATTTTTTTTTATCTTTTGATGTACATGTAGACTTAGTTTTTTGGCATGCAGGTATATCGTGACTTGGATGGAGAGTTGTCTCATTGGCACTCATACCACAAATTCTTATTTCTATATCACAATATTACCGGTAAGAAATGTTTTGCTTGTGATTATTACTTATTAGGGATGTCAACGAGTACTCGAGTATTCGAGAATCGCTCGGTAGTACCGAGTATCAAATACTAAAACGATACTCAAATACTCCGTTTCCTGTTAGAATATTGCTGTCTTCTTTATATAAAATTGTTTTTCTTGAGAATCGGTTACCTCTTTCCGAAAATTAAATAGGCATCACTGATTTATCATACTAGTAAATAAAAAACTTTTTGTTTCGAATGCTTGTGCTAAATTGTCATTTAAAATGCCTCCGAAAGAAAATACGTGGGCTATACCTATAAATGTTTTAGCATGTTTAGACATTTCGTCTCATCCGTACGTTAGAGCAAATATTTTCGTCTGCAAGACTGTAATTCACAAAGTCCCCAATAATAGTTGACAAGAAAATGTTTCCAAATAAAACAAATTCGTTTTCATCCTCTGGTGACCCTCAGTGAATAGTTAGGCTTCTAATTCTTACGCCTTTGTAAACATTAAATGTGCTTTCTTAACGATTACCAAATACTATTGTTTTATATGGGTTTTCCTTGTTATAATTTTTAAAAAGGTGTTCATTAAATTATATTGATTAGATTTGCTTAATTAGAGCTATTAATTGTGGTGTGTATTTCCTTGTCCCAGATACTTATGTAGATGGTTTTTCGTCCGTTGAACAACAAACCACAGAATGTAAAATACGTATTTTTGTATTTCATTGTTGCAGATATATTCCTGAGCAAGTTATTAATGTTTTGGGCAAGTTTCATGTACAAATAACGCTCATCTGAATTTACCTTGATGTCTTAATTCCAAAGTAATTAGTAAACTTTGCTTGATATCCTTTGATTTTCTTAATAGTTCTCTCTGACCCCAAGGCAAGTGTGACTGGGTATAGAAATAAGGCCATCTCTTGGTCTTCTTCCAACCGACGGTGTAACCCTTTTCAAAGTGGGGCATCCATTTGGATGTGCTTGATGTTTGAATTCGCAGTCATGTCTGGTCAGAATGGGGACTTACAATCCCATGATTCGTGTATTGAGAGTGTCACACTCTTTACACTTTAATAACCATTATAACATCTCTTTGAGGGATTCGCAGGTGACCTGTTGTAAGGCTTAATTTCTTTCTGGATCCCGATTTAATATACAAATGTCATGAATGTAACCTCATTTTTCAGCGTCATTTCAAATTTCCTGTCCTTCATTTTGGACGACCCCTATTTTAGAACTTACTGATAATTGTATTTATGGTTAATTAATTCTCATTCTGAACATTCATTTAATATTTGTCACTGGACAAAAAGCAAGCAACAATCAATTAATATTATTTCTTTCTTTAACTTCTCCACTCCAGTCTCATACATATGAGGAGTATTGGCATGTTCCTGTAATAAAAACAACTATAAAATAAATAAGAAGTGGTGGGCCTATAAGGATCTGAATTGTTATCATAGTAAAGAACCATTGTTTTGTTATTTGCCCCCTATTTCTATATTTACCAGAACATTTTTTTGTAAACTCATATAGCATGTATAGTCAATAGATTCCTTACGGCGAACGAGTCAAACACTGAAGAGTATTATTGGAAGGGAGATAATCATTGAACCAGTTTACTCACTGTTTGAAAAAGAGCGAAATTTCGATAGCATACTTCAGGACAAGTGGTCTGCCTTAATTTCATTTTTTTTAAATATTGATGACCAAATAGACAAACTAGACTGCATGGTGTTCTTCTCAAAATAATGGCATTACTGTTACATTTTAGAAAAAATCAATTAAATCAGAAGTTTTAATTGAGTTACCGTTATTACTTTTTATCGCTTGAGTTAATTGCTATACCAGAAAAACAGACTTTTTAAAAACATATTCCAATGTCGGACTAACGGGGTGTCAAACTAGTGGGGTGTCTGACTATAGGCTATTTCTCGATTATGTCTTTCACTGGAAAAGATCATCAATTATGCACTCTCTTATGACGTCATTTACCAGATAGAAGGCGAGTCTGTATCCCTGCACATATTAAAGTTTCAAGCATCTTCAGTATCGTCATTCTGCAGGGTAGTCATGGTAATCTAGAAATAATTTAGGCCTGTAAGTACGTAATCTCAATGTCCCATACGACTGAAGTGAGGGTAACCAACTAATTAGATTTTAATTTCCCGAATATTTGGTGCAGTGTAGCATCCAAAATTTCACCCATTCGCTCAACACGTTTTAGAAGTGACGATGCCTACATTTTTGTCACATGGTGATGAAAGTCACATGACAGATATTACTAACTACCATATCTCGGAACTGGCGTATTGATTGGGTTGTCGGACCAATGGAGTGTCGGTTAGTGGGGTGTAGGATAAATGGGGTGTCAGACTCATGGAGTGTCGGAATATCGGGGCTGCCCCTTGATTGACATGTTCAATAGAGGGATAATAAATATCTGCACCACTATAAATGATTTTATTTTTGTGACTTTGTAGACCATATCAAGTGAAACTAAAAGTGTTAGTTTATTTTACCATCTTCTGCAGGCTTGACAAAAAATATATATATCACTTTCAATTTTTTTTTATCTTGGTCCTGTCATGCCTTCAAACTTTTCCAGGTGATATTGTTAATCTGTTTGTCTTTACGCAGACTAATTCTGTGGTGTAATTTTTGTAAAAAAAATTTACCTTCTGATGAACCTTCATCTGTCTGTGTTTCAAAATGGACTGTATGACAACATCTTTAAGTTAAGGTTATGCAAATTTTTAATAGTAATTTTTTGATCCGATGAAATGTTAGAACTCAGTTTAGTTGTTGTACACTTTAAAAACAATTATTAAAATATTAAATCTTACAAATTAAACAAGCGGAAATGTATTGTGTGTTGTAATAAAAAAAAATAAACCGGACCAGACAGAGATATAATCCGTGTTTCGTTTTTTAAATCAATTATTTATCTTCAATTTTTAAAACATGGTTTGATTGCGTTCAAGTTTAATCGAGACCAACTAACATTTGTTTCTATGGAATCAAGATCACATTATCTATTTATTGGAAAAGGAAATAAGAAATAAAAAGTAGTTAGAAAATTTTCAACTCGATCCCTATGGGCTGGGAACAGTATATCTAACGTCAATATATATGTTCCTGCTATGGGCAACCATTTGGGCAAAAATGAACAAAGTTTTAAAAACGGACGTTATAAAAAAAAGACATCAAAAGCGAAAACAGACATAAAATTAAAAAAACAGACAAATGATGTGAAAAATAGAATAGAAACATTTAAAAAAAATTAAAAACAGAGATAAAAAATGAAAACAGATGTCAAGAACGAAAACAGACATAAAATTAAAAAACAGACATCAAAAACGAAAAAAGACATCAAAAACGAAAACACACGTTAAAATCAAAAACAGACATGAAAAACGAAAACAGACATAACATTAAAAAATGATGTGAAAAATAGAATAGAAACATTTTTAACATAAAAAACATAAAAATAATGATTATGGCAGAAGGAAAATCTACTCTTTGTTTTTTACATCCAATGACGATGAAATATGGCACTATTCATGGTCATTCATAATATATGGGCCAATACAGGACTTGTTTCTTTTTTTATTATGAAAGCTTATGTTAAAGCCAGATTACTGGCAGGAGTGTGTACACTGCAATCAAATCGTAGTAGATTTAATAAGTATGAAGTAAGTACGATATGCCAGTTGTGTATGGCTGACATTGAAGATACTGAACATTTCCCGCTACAGTGCAGCAATACAGATATCGTGAGGAGACCGTTTATTACAAAGCTGAGAACTCTGCAATGTGACATCTGGGACATAGTATAATAGTCTCAGGTGACTTTGGTCATGAAATAGAAAATCTAGTCTTTTCGAACAAGTTAGTGTTATTTAAATTGATTTTGAATGTGTCAAGTCCACATATTCCAATATTAATACAGACTATCTTATTGATGGAGAAAATAGAGGTGATCTCAAGAGGAATGGTATATGCCTTACGTCATAGAAGATGTACCACACAGGATTTAGCTAAGGCAGTTAGGGTGGCAATGTCATTTAAAACTGCTTGATATAATACCGGTATAAAATATATTAAAAGTAAGACTTAATCTAACAGTTAAGACTTTAATGAACAGTCAGTTACATGTAATGGTTTGTTTCCTTATTTTTGCAAAACTTATAGTTATGATCATATGGTTGAAGCTTATGGTTTATGTAAATGGTTAAGTGGTTAAGATTTGAGTAAAATGATTAGGTCACTTGAATACATCTTTGCAATGGTCTTGAATAAGGTATGCGTTAAACTTTTTATATTTCTGACCACATAAATATATACATATTTTTTTATGCAACTCATGCTATGAGCTATGCACAAAGTCTTTGTACGTAAACACAATTTTTGCCCTTAATTCAATTTATTGTATCTCTTTATTGAAATAGGGGTTATAAGTTTACGGGTGCAGTGTAAGGCGACTTATGAAAAGTACATATATAGGTGTGTTATTGGCTTAGAATGAACAGTAGAAAGTAAGAACCTATATCATGCATACCCTAATGATGTCAGTATCAAGTAACAGAAAAAAGTAAAATAACAAAAATACCGAACTCCAAGGAAAATTCAAAACGAAAAGTCCCTTATCAAATGGCAAAATCAAAAGCTCAAACACATCAAACGAATGGAAAACAACTGTCATATTCCTGACTTGGTACAGGCATTTCCATAGTATAGTGATGGAGCAGATCCCTGCACGTAAAATGGTGATTTATATAGTTTTATGCTACTTGTGCTTCGGGTTTTGAATTGAGCACCTTGCTGTGATAGAATCCCTAGCTTATAATTGGATGTGACAATCTGTCATTGCTATTTTAACTTGGTGGCGGGAACACCGGGCAGTGTTGATAACCTTTATACCAGTATCTGGAACAATTGATTTATAGGCGTAATTATACTGGTTTCTGCACTGAAATTCTCACTGTAAATTGTTTCCTGCACATGCACACAGTTAGTTGCTTACAGTAAATCTACTTACCCGTATTACACTACAAAAGTAGGGGTACTCCAGATAGTGGAGGGAAGAACAAAGAAGAAGAAGTGGCGATACCTGGAAATAGTTCATTTATTTTGTCGGTTTCGTTTTTGACCTCTCTTTTATATTTTTAACGTCTGTTCCTTAATTTTATGTCTGTTTTCGTATTAGAACTCTGCTGTCTGTTTGTTTTATCTTAATTGTATGTCTGTTTTCGTTTTTGACCTGTTTTTAATTTTTCAACGTCTGTTTTTTAATTTTGTGTCTGTTTACGTTTTTCATATAAAAATAAGGAGATGTGGTATGATTACCAATGAGACAACTATCCACCAAAATTCAAATAAAGTTGACTCATCTCCTTATTTTTATATTGATACTAGCAATTATAGGCAACCGTACGGTATTCAACAATGAGAAATCCCATACCGTATAGTCGGCTATAAAAGGCCCCCACATGAAAAATATGAAACAATTCAATTGAGAAAACTAACGGCATAATTTATAACAAAACAATTAACGAAAAACAAATATGACAGACATGAAACAACGACAACCACTGAACTACAGAATCCTTACTTGGGACAGGCACATAAAGAATGTGGCGGGGTTAAACATGTTTGTGAGCGCTATACCCTCCCCTTAACCTGGGACAGTGGTGTAACAGCACAACATAAGAAAAAACTATAAAAATCAGTTGAAAAAGTCTTAACTCAATAGATCGATACAAAGAAAAACATCAAACAAAAACACAGACAGGACGTGACAGGGTGTCCTGTAAAAGAAGAAGGAATAAATGAGCACACAGGTAATCCCACCTACAAAAACATATCATTTGACAAGGATGAGATTTTGGCGAATCATAAGTCTTTCATGGCTTCAATGAATATTACATTGAACAGCAAATCTGAGGACTTACCTTGTTTGTATTGGATACCTTAGCTTCACAAAATTCCGTACAAACAACGGTACATTGCCGGTTCACCTGCATGTTCTACAAAGGAATTGTCCATTAGATTGACAAAAATTATGTCCGCAGTAAAAAAGGGTCATTGGAAATACTGCGAAACTGTTTACTCGCGTAGTGGTATTAACCATATGTGGATTCTAAAAAACTCTAAAGAACTTCTGGATAATTTTAAATCTCGAGCTTTCTCTGAAACTAATTCTATCAAAAGTTTTGATTTTTTAACCCTATTTACGACCACTCCCCATGTGAAATTGAAAAATCATATAAAAGAAATAATCCACAATGCTTTTCAATATCAAAATGGTAGCATACGCTATAAATGTATTGCTTTGGGATACCACACGGCATATTTTGTTAATAGTGAACAAAAAGGTAAAACATGCTACACAGAGGAACAAGTGATCAGTATGGTGGAGTTCCTTATTGACAACATATTTCTTGAATTTGGAGGTAGATTTTTTCAACAAAATGTCGGCATTCCTATGGGAACGAACTGTGCGCCTCTCCTTTCCGACCTCTTCTTATTTTCATATGAATCGGAGTTCCTTTAGACGCTTGTCAAAAACAAGAAGATCAAAGAAGCCAGATCATTTAATTTCACATCCAGATATATTGCTGATGTTCTTTCCATTAACAATCCAAACTTTTCTGATTGGGTTCCATTAATATATCCTTCAGAACTAGAAATTAAAAGAATCAACCGACACGGCTTCCTCCGTCTCGTTTTTATACTTTTACCTCGAATTTGACATAAGCGATCATCGATCTCAGTACCAGAATCTATGACAAACAAGACGATATTAATTTTGAAATTATAAATTTCCCCCACCTTAGCAGCAATATACCAACTTCACCTGCATATGGAATATACATTTCCCACCGCATTCGGTATTCAAGAGCTTATAGCTGCTACTCAGACTTTATAAAACTTCACCAGTATCTGAGAAGAAAGTTGATGAACCAGGGTTATGTCAAAGAACGTCTCGTCCTTTTTCTAAAAAAGTTCATCGGAAGATACCAAGACCTTGTTGATAAATATTCCGTATCAACTTCACAAATAATACATGATTGTTTTGGAGTATAGATTCTAGGTACTGACGTTGTTTATCATCTTAATTACGTGTTATAGTGTTCTTTTCATTTGACTTTGTATATTTTTAAACTTTACTGGCTCGGTATTTATACATCCCGCCATTGTGTTATTGTGCTATGGACTTTTTGTATTCTTGTCTCTCATTTTTGCTTATGTACTTTGTCTATAGAGTGTCTATATGCCATTTTGTTTTTCTTTGTTGAAATAGTTATTTGTTTTTATAGTGATTAAGGTTATAACACAATGTTGACTGCTGTGCCCCAATTTTTGACATTTTTACCTATTATAGATATAGGAAGATGTGGTATGTCTGTTTGTTTTGCTCACACATTGTTGTCAATATAATGGAATTCTATGCGACTGTCATACAAGTGAGAGGTATGCTAGCTATAAGACCAGGTTTAATCCACTTTTTTCTACATAAGGAATGCCTGTACCAAGTCAGAAAAATTACAGTTGTTTTCCATTCGTTTGATGTGTTTGGGCTTTTGATTTTTCCATTTGATAAAGGACTTTCCGTTTTGAATTTTCCTTGGAGTTCGGTATTTTTGTGATTTTACTTTTTGCTTAAAAATAGCTTATTTGACGGAGTAATATATTCTTTAAAAAAATATGGGATTTTGGGCATGTTCCGGAAAATCACGATACTTTCTCAAAATTAAAATTTCACCAATTGTGAACAAATTAGAGAACAGATATTAAAAAAAAACATTGTGAGTATGGCATGGTATTGGTTGCAAAAATTTGATATTTTTCTTTTAAATGCAAT